TATGTGCACACCTATCTGCCACCTACCTTTACACTTGATGAAGGATTTACATCACTATTATTTTGTATCCATGTAAATACAGCTTTGTAACTTGTCAATCCACATATATTGTTTATTTAAGGTGGATAACATCACAAATCACTTTTTTAAATATTGTTAAATAGCTTACATAAAAAGTTATCAGCCTATACGAATTTATGCTATAAGAAGTTTCTGTAGATTTTAATCCGTTTAGAATTTGAATATTTTCTGAATTGACAATGAAATAAATACATAACATAACTAACTACATGTAATAGGTAAAAGTACAAGTTGATAATAACAAGACAAGTGTACAGTTAGTTAGTGGTAAGAATACTAGAATACAATAACTTAAGTTTTTGTCAATAGTTCAATATTGGAAGTGGTAGGTCAAACGTTAATAAATAGACTGAAAATAATTATCACAGAACTTTATTGGGATTACGTAATAAGAGAGTGAAATGGATAGTGAAAATGATGAACGAAAAGCGGTGAATGAAAGACGAACAAATACAACTAATAATAAAAAAAATTAAAATCGTTTATTAAGTTATATCTAGCCAACTAAGGGATATATGGGTGTCATGAATTTCTTCTGAATACACAAATAGGGATTGAATATGTTCAGATTCCTATGGCTTCTGCTATATGTAATGGACGGGATCGAACGATGTTGGGAAATGATATAGGTATACGAGATAGGTCACTTGAAATGATTCGGTTTTATCTAGTTTATGACCGCTCTCAATCAAATGGGTCAAGATAGAGCTGCGTATTGTTTTTATCTGGCATTTTCCAAACCGCCATATTGGCATGTGTTCACTACTCACTTGTTGGTTCAGTAGCCTGGTGGTACTCATGTATGTATGTATGTGGTTACGTAATCTATTTTGTTGTGATTATTGACTCTTAAGTTACCTTGATTGGTTTAACAATAATATCACATCAACATTCATGTATATTAGAGTAAAGCTTGATGACGATCTAATTGAAAATAACAATATTTTTCGCTTATATCCGTGTTTTTCTAAGGGTACTTATTTTCTCAAAACTAATTTATTGGCGGCCTGCTTGAATATTTGGACTACCTATGTCCTAACATTAAATTATTTCGAAAAGTTACCTCTTTTTACTTGTTTTAACATATCAGTTATGTCTATTTGATCACATGATCACATGAATCTTCATCAGTTGAGGTGGTCGAGACATGTGTTACGTATACTCTCAACTATCTACTACCTTGACTAGCGATGTTGTCTGATGTAAGGAGTAGGTTGGAGTAAAGCTAAAGGCGGCCAAACTGAAACATGGCACAAATCCATGAAGTCATTGACAATTGAACTTAGCCATGTTAGTAAAAGTAGGTTATTTGGTTAGGGTCGGCGAGACTATAGTAACCGTTGGTAAGAGACTTTGAATGACATGGTTCAAAATCGTTTGTAATGGTACAGATGCATCTATATTTTGTCTTCTCTAAAATTCCAATCTTCTGAATTCCTAATAAGCTTTTTCTTTCTGATTTTAAATTTATTTGACTGCATTGTACTTTATGATTAACATCTTCGAACCCTTATCTTCCCCATTACTGATAATACTTTTACAACTTATAATACTATGGGATTTGAATCGACAACTAGATCTGTGTGTGCTAGCTAATGTGGTATGGCAACTTGAACTTATGTACGTACGTACGTACGAGCTTTATGTTGTAGCTGATTGATTCATCGAATTTATAAACTTTTGTGAAAGTGATAAGTAATAGGGTAGTGTTTAATTGTCATTTGTTTTACTGTTATTTGTATTATGATAATCGAATATTTCTATCATTCGTATCAGATTAATAAAAGTACGTATCAATAACCGACTACCAGGAAAAAACGGTATTCTTTTTAAAATCTAAACCGATGCCTAAAATGATGCTTACTTATGCCTGTTACCCCCATTGCAGAATATGCCACCGACCAGTATTCTCCAACACTTCTCTATCCTGGGCTTCCCTTTCCAGTTTTTGTCCAATTCTTGTTCATTCTTCTCATATCTTTCTCTATTTCTTGGCTTAATGTGTTCCTTGGCCTTGCTCTTTTTGTTTGACTTTGAGGGTTCCATGTGAAGGCTTGTCTTGTGACGCAGTTAGATGCTTCCCTGAATGTGTTTCCTATCCACTTCCATCACTTCTTCCTGACTTCCTCCTCCATTGGAATCTGGTTTGTTCTTTCTCACAGTAGATTGTTGCTGATGGTGTCTGGCCAACGAATCCGAAGTATTTTGCGTAGACAACTGTTAATGAATACTCCAGGCGGAGTTTAAAATGACAGGATACTATCTATCAATTCGATGAGATATATTTCCCATTTTCTGAATTCATTTCTAATTCTTATAATTACATGTTATGTTCATGTCAGAGTATTTGTTTTCAATAGTTTCATTTTTTCTCAAAATATTATTGATAAATAATAATAATAATAATAATGATAATAATAATAACAATCGTAATTTTTCAGTGCATATCAAAAAAGAGTACAACTGCCAAATCTATAATTTTCATGATGAAAATTTATCATTTTGAATCGAATTTACAGTTTATGTAGAAATAGTAATGCTTCTGTAAATAAGTGAACATTATTGACTGGAAAGATTATTCTGTAGAGAATTTTTTTTTGATGAATAGAAATACTTCTCTAAATTATATTGGCTAATTTAATGAGTTACATTTATTGCTAGTGGAATACTTTATTACTGTTTATTGTAGTGTAGTGAACGAGAACACAGGTGGGGCAACCGGATTGTATTTAGCGAAAATTACAGAATTACTCAGTAAAATCGGAAAACCATATTGTAAATCGTTCATTTGCAAAATATCAGTTGATCATATCGAACTGAACTGTTCCTGTTGCAAAACATCAATCCATTGTCACTATTCATGATGCGTTTCATACAAATTCCATTGTGTTCTAACTCTTCCTTTCTTGATCTTCCCCCATGTTCTGCTGCCAGACATGACGTTGACACTCACGTCATATACTACTTATAAGTAGCTCACACCACAGTAGTTTTTATTTTCTTTTTAAAAAATAAACATTTTTTATCGAAATCATTCGATTAAGATTGTAGTAACTTGTGTAAGTACCTACTTACTTACTTACTTACTTACACCTGTTACTCCTAATGGAGCATAGGTCGCCAACCAGCGAATTAATTATTTTTCTGGTTGACATTTTTTTCTATCGAGTTAGATTCCTACGAGATGGGGTCGCTAACCCCTGTGGGCAATTGATGAGTGGTCTGTATCTGACACTTGTTGGTAGAACATGCAGACGAAGACATTTCTGGAAAACCCCATACGCATCCCTTTTGCTTTATCTGGACTTAGGACTTCGGCAGTAACCTTACAAGGGCTCCAGGTGGAGTTGAATTATATAAGCAGTGATACATAAGTAATAAAGAAATGATTACTGTTGTTGACTCGTGCGGACAATTCTTATTTACACATTTGAAATTATCAATCAGTCATTGTTAGACCACTAATTATAAACCTTATTTAAAGTGTTTCCTAATGTGAATATGTTATCTATTTCTCAATATCGAGCATTTCCATAATATATAAAAAATAAACTAACAGCTACATATATTATTACCTTTGCATGATGATTTATTTTGTCTTGAGTAATTAGGAATGCATTGAAACTCGTCTAATATTAGTCATTACGTCTTGTGTTCGAAACATCACGAACACTCTGTGAGAATCTTTTTCCTATTTTTTTATTATCAAAGTCTTAACAGTCGGCACATTGTTCTCCATGAATAAGAAGCATGAAATCGAGGATCTTATGATCTTTATCTTTGGAAACATGATCTTAGTAGATTAAAACTAAGTATCTTTAAAGTTTTATGCGAATCGATATGGTATTTGAATATCAACTATTGAGTAAGCAATGCCGGTGTTAGTCAAAGGGTACTAGGTAAGGATGGGAAATCGATTGATGAAGTGGTTGGGACATGTGTTGTGTATGTCCAATCACCTACTATCTTGATGAGTGATGTCTTCCTGAAGAGAACCACACATGGCACAAATCTATGAAGTCATTGACAATTGAACTAAGCCATGTTAGTAGGTGTAGACTAGCTGGTTGGGGTCGGCGAGGCAATAGTAACCGATGGTTTGGGACTTTAAATAACGTGAGCTAAAATCATTGGCAATAGCGCACATGCATCCATTTCTTGTTTTCTCTCAAACTCCATTCTTGTGAATTCTACACTTGATTATACTTCTTCAATCCTTTCTTCGTTCATTAATCTTTTCGATTGATGCTAATCCTGCTACAACCTCTGCTACTACGAAGTTGTGACTGAAGTGCTTACTGATGTACGTACGTACGTACGAAGTTATACGTTGTAGCTAGTTGACTGACTAACTAACTGACTAATGAACGGCACTAGTAAGGCAGTAAGTAGTTGATGGGTCAAATAAGAGTTTATAACTAAGGGCAATATTACAATACAAACGTGTCCACTTGAAATACAAACCGTAAACCTTCTCTAGATACTAGGTTTCATAGTTTCATACATCCAATTATTTTCTTAATCTCCCAGTGGAATTGCATCTTCTGATGCTGTTCCATTGAATTTTAGATTGGAGTCTCTAGTTCAAAGGTTTCAGGAGTTGCCCCTATGCAAAACCCATACTTTGACTTGGTTGCTCTGGTAGTATCATAGCCCTCATACACATGTAATAGTAATTATTTTTGAAGATAGAATGTAGTGCACTCTACAGAAGTAAGTCAAGCAAAATATAAACTGTCATCTAAATGATTGAGAACTAAATTCTTCTCCTGCTAGACTGCCACTCTACTTAACACTTACGTTGGTATAATAAATTTAAAATTCTATCTATCAATTTATTTTTCAAACAGATAACAATCTTTTTTTTTTTTACAAATCAAACATTTTTTTCTTTTTCTTTTCAAAATATATCCTTTTAGGTGCCGGTGAATCAGGGAAGAGTACAATTGTCAAACAAATGAAGTATGTCATTTCACAACAGTGGTTGTTGGTTTTTTTCACAATTTTTGTAGTAAATAAAATAAAAATTTTAAAATATTCATATAAACAAATAATCATGAAAAGAAAGGTAGATTAACGTTAGTCTTGGGAGACCTGGGAGCGTGACCGTAGTCAGTCAGTCAGTCAGTCAGATGCAACGTAGAACTTCGTACGTAAGTACATCGGTTCATGTTGCCATACCACCACATCAGCACAGAGATGTAATTGTCAATTCAAATCCAATAGTAGAAGAGGTAGTAAAGGTATTAGAAGTAATCGAAGAGGTTAGGATTAGAAGATACTTATTCATACAAGTATGATTCAGTGAGAAAAGTTTAGAAAGTCAAAAGTAGAGGTGTTGAAGAATCCAGAAGATTAGGATTTGAGCGAACATAAAGAATAAATGCACCGGCGCCATTGCGAACGATTCTGAGCCATGTCACTCAGGGTAACTAACCATCGATTATTATCATCTCGCGGACCCCAACCAGGTAGTCGACAATTACCGACATGGCTCAGTTCACTTGTCAATGACTTCATGGATTTCTGCCATGTTTTGGTCTGGCCGCCCCTAACTTTCTTCCAACTTATTCCTACACTACAAAACAAAGCTCGACGAGGCAGTCGGTGATTGGGCATACGCAACACATGTCCCAACCACCTCAACTGATGAAGTGTCACTACTGCGTCTATTGATCTGTCATTGTTACCTAGCACCCGATTCCTAATAACAGCGTTGCTCACTCGGGTGTCCCACGGTATATAAGCAATGCTTCGAATACACCTATGATCGAAGACCAGTAACCTACGAATATTTTCTACTCTCATTGGCTATGTTTCACAGCCATAAAGTAAGACGGAGCGAACCACTGCACAGTACACTCGTCCTTTAGTCAGCAAACGGATATCTCGCCTTCGCCTTAAGAGCCACAGGGACAACTGTTTGAGGCCGGTCACGTATGGCCTTTATATATATGTATCTGAATAATATGTCTACATTGAACAGCCATGTACTTCGGCCAATAATCTATTTTCTTTTATGAATCATTATGATGTGGTTCAGAGTCATCCAACACCACACATCACATGGAACACTGAATCCTTGAATAATCTCTAGTATCGATGACATTTAAACTAGTTTATTTTTGTGAGCTCAGAGCACAAAACTCCATCACAATCATCCACTTAAGCTACAAATTTTCCCTCTTTTGGCAGCAGCAACAGTTCTCAACATACATAAAGGTTAAAGCAACATTCTCCGATACAACGCAACATGCTTTGGAGGACGTAAAAACCTTTACATATCTGGGCAGCATCATTGACGAGCAAGGTGGATCTGATACAGATGTGAAGGCGCGGATCGGCCAAACAAGGGTTGCATTTCTACAATTGAACAACATCTTCAACTCAAAACAACTGTCAACAAACACCAAAATTAGAATTTTCAATACAAATGTCAAGACAGTTCGATTGTATGGAGCGGAAACTTGGAAAACTACAAAAGCCATCATCCAGAAGATACAAGTATTCATTAACAGTTGTCTACGCAAAATACTTCGGATTCGTTGGCCAGACACCATCAGCAACAACCTACTGTAGGAGAGAACAAACCAGATTCCAATGGAGGAGGAAATGAGGAAGAAGTGATGGAAGTGGATAGGAAACACATTCAGGGAAGCATCCAACTGCGTCACAAGACAAGCTCTCATTTGTAACCCTCAAGGTAGGCGGAAAAGAGGAAGGCGAAGGAACACATTACGTCGAGAAATAGAGACTGACAGAAATTGGACAGAACTAGAAAGTAAGGCCCAGGACAGAATAGGTTGAAGAATACGGGTTGGCTATCTATGCTCCATTGGGGCGGACAGGCGTAACTAAGTAAGAATGTAAGTAGGTTGTGCTGGGACAATTCTTCACGGTTAGTAGTGCTTTTCAATGAGAAATTGGTCATTTGATATGATGATCAACAATTATATGTATGAAATTTGGAAGGCTTACTATCAATCCCGGTCCCTATTTTGGAATTAACTTCATCGTTTCTTGTTTTACAGCTAACATTTATTATTATTATTATTATTATTATTATTATTATTATTATTATTATTATTATTATTATTATTATTATGAATGATCATTGATTTAAGAAGGTAGGTGATAATTACATTAATTTCAATTGAGAAACAGTAAACACGAGATAATGAATTACACGTAAGAAATAATGAATAATACTATGGATTATTTGTAAGAAAAAAAAGCAGCAAACTGAGTATTGAC